CACACACACACACACACACACACACACACACACACACACACACACACGGCTTCTGTGCGTTAAAAATAGAAGTCAGAGAGGTATTTTACAATAACAACAAAGAAATCCTTGTTTGGCAAACATTATAGTTGATTGATTTATCGACGCGATGCCGAACCATTCGGAGCCACGTGCATGATGAATCACAAAGCACCGTTCTGTCACTTTCTAGTGTGTATTCACAATACTGAGATTATCGAGCAACAATGGTTCATTGTTAGTTCACAGTTTGCAGGAAAACGCTAAAAACATTTTAATTTAAGGGTTGGAGGAGTGCAGCATGGGTCTGGTGCATGAAGGGTTGCTCAAATCTGAAATTAACAGAAATGCAGGGCAATTAAACATCAGGGAGTTTTTCCTTAAATATGTCAGCAGATAACAGACAGCATTAGTGCTATAGATCCATAGGGCCAACACATCCAAGGCTATTTGGGAATGAAGCTAAATCTATCAAGCAGAGCAGAACAAAGTGATTTTCTAATGATCGTCTGTCAGATTAAGGGTGATATTAAGCTGACGATGGACCAAGTTGTGCCTTGTGTCACTGTGACCAACAAAAAGGCAACTGCAATGCAAATGATCCTGGATCAGTCCAATCCATAATGCATGGAGCAGTCAACAAAAGCAATCAATCAACGTACAATCCCACAAATGTTGACAGGAATAAAGACGAAGATTTTCAGCCAAAAAAAGAAGGTAAAGAGCTGTAAATCCAGACACCGTCTCTCCTCCCGCTGTGACAGACAGAGCGACACCCGGCTGCTGCGAAAGCTATTTAAACTGTGAAGGCTAATGCTGTGGGATAACAGGAGCGAACACTAAAGCTGACAGTCAGCAAAGCATTTTCTAAAAGACTGTATGTCGGAAGGAGGAGAAGACAGACCCGGGAGACAAATTAAGACGTATTGGAACAGGTGTATTAGCTGTGCAACTCAGGTCATGAAAAAATGAATAGGCCCGAATCAACGCACCGAGACCGGCCAGATGTAGACTAATAAAGAAAAGAACAGAAACTGAAGTGCTTACAGATTATTCAGGTATTTTTTGAATGTGAACATTGTGGCTTTGAAATGATAATTACATTTATTCATGCACTGCAATCTACATGTAAATACAGAAATTAATAAAGATAAACCTGGCTCTCAGAGCTACATCAAAACAGACCGCATATTCAATTTGCTGTGGAATATAAATGGCTTCTAACATTTTATTGTTATCTTTAATTCTATTATATTTTCACATATTTGCCACCAAAGAGCTTGTGTCTTTTGTTAAACCTTTTGTACAGTTTCTTCACTTCGCACTTCTTGATTATTTTTGGATTTTGCACCAACTGCGTAGCCGCTCTTTCTCCGGCCATGAAGATTGTTTGGGATTATGTGGCGGTTACTTTAAAGTGTTTATGCTACAGTTGAACCAGTTGCAAGCTTCGATCAATAGAAGTATCACCTAAAACCGTTTAAATCTAAAATACAGTGCGGACGTGGAGGCAAGATAACCACCGATCGATGAAACGCCGTCGGTTAAGTGTTTATTAGGAGACAACCAGTGCCCACAGGGACGCTTGTAGCACTTATCCGCTGTACTTTAGCTTAGCTTATCATACCGGTAAGCCACAGACTGTGGAGCGTTGCATTAAAACTAAATGAATGTCCGGTCTCGGGGTAATCACATATCCTTTTAGAGGAACCCCAGAGAATGTATTTCCCTGAAGATGGAAATAAAGATTTGAAGAGGTTGGCTCCAAAATGAGACATGACAGCTGAAGATGTAATGATTTATGGAGGACGGTAATTGACCTACTAAATCAATGACACAATAACTTCTACAGTAGAAGAACATATTGAAGGAGCTTTTTCTCCTCATTTATTAAAGCTGCTACATATACCCCTTAAAAAGTATTCCAAATTAATCAAAGTAGTTTGTCATTTCAGCCCAAAAACTCCATGGTTGTCAGCATGTTTGTCAAATGAGAAGCCGACTTATTTTTTACTTCTGTGTGATATTAAAGACCCATCGTCACGACTCAAGAAATGCAGGATTGGACACATACGCAGACAAAGCAGGCGAGTCAGAGGTGGATGGATGGAAAATGACAGTGAAGAGGGCTGCAGAGGGGCGACGGAGAGACAGACTCAGACCCCCCCCCCCCCCCCCCCCCCCCATTGTTTCAAAAATTGAAAATCTTGAGTGTTAAGCCAACGTTATCTTTGTAAACTTCATATGAGTCACCTGATAGCAGAAAGATTAACAGGTGAGCGGAAGCAACAGCAGCTAAAATAATTAACCAGAGGGCAGTTTAGTTACAAACGGGTGCTGATCGACACCACGCAGAGAGCAGCTCTCCCCATCAGTCATTTTGCATGGCAACAGCACGGGTGAGGAAGAGCACGGTCGGCCTCGCCCAGAATAAACCAGGTTACTCCTTCAGGGACCAGGGGAAGAGTTGAAGTGGCAGACCTAGTTACTCCCACTCATCCCTCTGTCTGTGCGGCGGCTGCTGCTGCTCATCAGGAGTCCAACGGAGAGTGACAGAGCGTAAATGTAATGTATGTAGAGGGCTATGAAGCAACTAAATAAGGTCTCATTACTTGCATATTACGTAGAACATTAATCATTCCTGCCTGTATATATTTGCCTTTATCGAGCACAGCGCCTGTAATTGTATTTCAGCGTGAGAGGGATGATGTGAGCATGATATAGGACTAAAATAGACAATGAGAAGATGAAAAGATGTGGGAAAAGAAATGACCATCCTGGTCATAGCTGTGCGGGATATTCTGAGGTAATATGGATCTTCCACACCCACCACGACCCTCCGCTGTGCCTCTGGGGGATTTATGTCGAGGTATCAGCAATTTCCCTCTATTAAGCTACACACTCTCCTCTGTACCAATGCATACTGTGTAATTAAAGTCTTTTATATTTCCCTTCTGCGCTGCCTCCTCCTTCCTCCTAAACTGGGTTAATATGGAAATAAAGGTAGAGATCTCCAAATTTGCTTCTCTAACTTGCTGCAAATCTAAAAACTCACTATTAGATCTTATCATATCACCGTCAACAGGTCTCTTTGAAACCCGTCTTGAAACAATAGTTAGGTAAGAAGATACCACTCTCATGTCTGTGCGCTGAATGTAGCTACAGTGTATTTTTGCGTTTTTATCTGACTGTAGTTGGCATCTCTCTGCAAAGCACTTTGGTGAACATTTAATGATTGATTCATCCGGAATCAGCAACTATTTTGACATAAAGATATAAAAGTAAATTGAATATCTTTGGCTTCTGGGCTGTTGATTGGACAAAGTCATTTGTGGATGTTACATAAAGCTCTGCGATATTACAATTGGCATTTTTTACAATTTTTGAACATCTTATAGACAAAATCATTGACTGATTACTAGAGTAAATCATCAATAATGAAAATGAATTGATATCTGTAAATACACAAGAGGTTAGTAATAAACAAATGAAAAAATCAAGTAGCCACTCACATACTGTAACTAGGGAGAAACCCAGACACTAAACATAATAATCTCAGGTCTTTTTCATCCTCTTCTCTTATTGATGTATTAATATTCAAACCGTTTCTTGTCCTGTCTTGTTTGTTACTCCATGCTGTCTCCTATAGGTCACATCATGTTTTGCGTGTAATTCTATTGTCTGCCAACGAGCACGAGCTCCCTTCGCTGGCTTCATCTCGTTTGTGAAATTGATTGTATGATGAATCTGCAGAAAGTGAATGAAGCAAACAAAACAAACAACCTCAAAGCGCAGGCATGCAATCATTAAAAGCAAACACGCAGTGGGATGGATGTGGATCTCCAGTGTAAGAACCATATGGTGCCGAAGCCTTCCTCTACGGGAGAATACATTAACCTTTCACGACGGCTCTCTCGTGAAGATGATCCTCGATATCGACATGCTATAAATCCCCTTTTAAAAATTGAAGCCCCCCTCCCATCCCCCCTCCCCACCGTGTGTGATTCTGCTGATTGCCACGCTGTGAAAAGCCCCGACATCTCCCCTCCATTCATCAGGTGACACATTGTCATGGAAACAACTGACACAGACACATCCATCCTCCGCGACGAGATGGTTCTAGATGCGGTCGTGACAATTTGCGGTTCGGGTGAACCTCGACGTATAAAAGGGGAAACATCCTGGTATTGATCCTAAGCTTTGGTAGTTAGATGAATTAAATGATTAATAGCTATGTTGTGCTGTTTCTTGCTGTTGCAGCCTCTCTCCCAGATGTTTTAATGCTTTACTTAAACATGACTCATATGTCTAAACTGAGCTGGTACAAAATGCTGTGAGCAAGCTCTCCAATGACGATCTTTCTATCCATAAAGCCCTGAATGATTAAAAATAGCGGGGAGTGCTGCGCTGGGTCGATGATGTAATGAGGTGTGGTGGGCGTACATGACTCTCTGGGTCTGACTTACCATTGACGCAGAACTCATACGGTGAACAGAGCTCGTCTTCAAACAGGCAACCTGGAGGTGAGAGAGAGTGAAACACAAGACATATTAATAGATGCTCTTAAAGGTGATCTACAAAGATTTGGAGAATCGATGAATCGTTTAGGTCTTTTTTCAAAAGGAGATGACGTAAATGAACTTGTTCGAGCTTCTCAAAAGGAAGCATTTGCTGCTTTTCTCTTCTTTATACCATGTAGATTGAATACTTTGGGGTTGTTTACTACTAGCTGGACAAAACAAGCATTTTGAATGGGACACAGTGATGGACGGTCTTCACCATTTAAGGATATTTGATCTAAACAATAAATAATTAATGAATCAAAAAACTAATTGACTGAAATGATTAGGCATTTTGGAAAGTATGTTTATTTGTTTTCTTTTTGAGAGTTATATGAGATTGATAGCACTTTCACATCTGTTAGTTAAACATGGAGCTGTAGCCAGCTGCTAGCTGCTAGCTGATGTTTGGGGTGGAACAGCTAGCCCTCTCTGCCTAGCCTTGTCAAAAAGTAACAAAACCCCCAGCACCTCTAAAGATATCAATGAATATCTTGTTTTATCAGTGCAAAAGGTAAAATTTACAATTTGTAGTTTTGTTACCCTTGGATCGAGGGAGGCTAGCTGTTTCCCCTTGTTTCCAGTCTTTATGCTAAGCTAACCTGCTGCTGGCTGTAGCTTGAAATTTACCACACAGGTACGAGAATGGTATCGATCTTCGCATATAACTCACAGCAAGAACGCAGATAAGTGTGTATCCCGAACTGTCCGACTATTCCTTTACGAAAATTAACTGCAGCCTAATTTGATCTTTTGAATCACTGTCAACTGAAGATGGAAGAAGAGAGAGATTGTAAACCAGTCCAGGAGATATACTTTAAATGGCATCAAGGAAAACATTACAAATAGCTTGATATGAGTATGAATGGAGACCAAAAGCATAATGCAGTATACACAATGGACAACTAAATGAGCAGAAAATGTACTATATTGCAGAACCAAATTAGCCTAATGTCACAAATTCTAAATATTTCACCGCTCCATGAGAGAAGCCTCCAGCTTAGTACTGCATTAACTCTGGCCGAGGGCCTCGCTGCTAATGGCAGAGCCATCAATCATCAATTAGTGCGACTTCTCCTATCCTGTCTCTGACACTAATACCCCAACGTTTCCATATATGAATGCTGTATGAATATTAATGATTTTGTAACGCTCGGACCAGGGCCGGGTGTTCCAGACTAATAAATGAGCAGATGGCATGGAGCATTATGGGTAGCTGTTCCCCGTGTTCATATTTCACACGTGGGAGTTGCAGCGAGCAGAGGACTGATTGTTCTGCTCGGCGATCTGCACAGGTGATCCTCAACATTCAAACGTTTCCAGAAAAAGATATTCTGTGGGGTGAAAACTCTTCTTGAAGTGTTATTTTCTGTCACATTCAGGGTCAAAACTCCAGGAAATAATCCGACCTTCAGCCAAGAAATGAGCCATTTGGGTTTGTTCAAAAAGCTCTCGATAGGCTCAGACTACAGTGTTGCAGTGTTGGCAACAGAAAGACAATCTGTAAACAACTAGGTCAAGCCTCAGCACTTTTTCGTCAAGTCTTTTATCTTTGATATTTCCCTGCTTCAGCTCATCAGTAGGAGTGACGTGATTGGATGCACCCTCTTGGCCCGGTGGCCGCGACGGACAGCAATGAGCAGCTTGTGACCGTGAATAAAGAACAGGCTGAGTAGGAGGAGAGGCTTCAGTCAGACCTCTTTAATAATGAGAAGAGACAGGTCGGGAAAGTCTGTTAATCCCACAGAAGGGAAAGATAATCAGGACAGGTGTGGATGAGACAGGCAACTTTTCAGGCATCACTTGTTCCAAGTTTGTTCAAGTTTCCGTTTTTATTCTTTTATCGTTATTAAAGTCTAGTCGGGGTGATAACTTCATTATACAGACACAACATTCAGCCATTTTGTTTGGAGGACGGTCACATTTTATGAGATCATATCTTTTGGAGGTAATGGCTTCAATATGTCAGCAACATGGCTATTTGATGATGTCGAGTGAGGGATCATAACAGAGCTGTAAGGTCGCTCAGCTCTCCGGAACAAAACTAAAAGGCAGAACGTCCTGAACTGAAGAGAAACAACGTACTGCTCCAACACCAAGACCACAAATGGCTTTTCTGAAAACTCATACTTCACTGTAATTCTCATTTTTATGGACAGAGTAAGCTACATTTTGCTAGGTTAACCATAACTCTAAAATGCTGCTGTCGGTTTAAAACTGCACATGGGCCATAGATTATGTTGTTCCACAGCTTCCTGCCCCAGCAGACCCATGATGACACTCCTTCCCATTGATATTACACATAATACTATACAGGACTATATAAAAAACTAGAATTACCACCTCACGGTTCTATGCCTCCGTCAACCAGGCAACGCAGTTTACATGTCTGTCCAAAAGCTCATCACATCCTCATTTGACCCTATTAGACATATCAAGTTATTGCCAGAAATGTGATTTGTGAGGTCTGTAAACTCTGACCTCCAAAATCTTATAAGATCATGATTGAGTCAAGGTGGATGTTTGTGCCAAATTTAAAGAAATTCCCTCCAGACGTTCGTGAGATATGACGATCACGAGAATCAACGGACGGACACAATACCCGCTATCACCAGCCCGCAGGTGGAGACCAAAAACAGAGCAAAAAGAGGAAAGAAACAACTTCAAATTAATTAGAATTTAACATTTTACCAAGGACATTGATTTAGCTGCAAGATGACTTCAAGACTTCAAGAAAGAGCGGCGCATCCTTCTTGACCAAGCATCCCACCACACTGCAATTAGCGTCACTCGATTCAACTTTACCTCCACGTCACTGCCTCGCTTAATTCATCAGGTTCTCTGGGAGGCCTTGTCAGCTCTCAATATTAATTACAACTTCCATTAAATGAAGCATCCTGTCAAGCATAGTGAGTCAGACATTGTGTGTGTGGGTGTGTGGGTGTGTGTGTGTGTGTGTAATAGGCAGGGACATAGAATTGATAACGCCACATCCCCTTTCTCCTCCACCATGCCAGAGATGATTAAAATGGCGCCTTCTAATTAAAATGCAATCACAGTGGATGCTGCTGATTACCTCAGGCGGAAAAAAAAAACAGAAGGACGCTCGACTCGTCGAGACTGAAGAAGAAAGCTGGTCGGAAAAAAAAAAGGTGTCTGGGTTTTATCGTAATGAGGCATCCTGACAAAACAATGGCCACATTGTCTTGTGTACACGATCATTTCACAAAGAAAAGAAAATCACCTTTTGGAAGAAGTGCGACACTTTGCTATTGAGTGTCGGTGCTCTGTTGCCATGTCAACCTCATCACAGTAGCTCATCAAAGGGAAACTAGTCAGTTGGCGTAAGAACAGCCTCAGTGGGATTTAGTGGATCAACAGAGATTATTTTAGTGTGCTTTTGGTATTAAATCACAAAAACTAAACCTGTTCAATGTGTAATCTATATTTTTCATCTCGTGTCCCAATGTGTCGCGGTGACATCTTCAAATGACTTGTTTTGTCATGAAAAATATATTTAGTTTACGATCACAGAAGACTGCAAATAACGGCACAGAGTCCCATTTGAAAAGCTGAAACTAGTAAACTGCTTTTACTAATGTGTAAAACAACATGTGAATGAATATACTTTTAGTGAATATTCTTAAATGACTGATTTTTGCAGCTCTAGATAATTGATCAGGCTCTCAAATGTGAAGATTCACTGCTTTGTGAGCTTTAAGTTATTGTAAACTAAACATCTGGACGAAATAATACATTTTCAAGTGTCCTCTTGAGCTCTGGAAAAGTACATTTTTCACTATTTCCTAAGATTTTTTTGACTTAATGATCAATTAATCATCAAAATAAATTCCAGATGAATAGATAATGAGTTTAGTCTTCAGCAGCACTAGATGTGAGCTAAGTCCAGGTGTTGTAAATGTGCAGAAGCTTCCCTTCCCAAAATAGTGTGACCTAATTTACAACTACAGTATGCAAGGAGAATCCAGAAGGTCAATGGTGGCAGTAAGTTCACAGCTTTCAGATATACTGGTAGTTACTGGCCTGTATTCTCATCATTCTTTGAAATCAGAGATACTTGAAAGAACTGAAACCATACGGATCTCCCAGTGTTTTTTCTCAATCTGTCGTTGCAGATTAAATGCAATATGTTAGAGAGGTTTTGCATAAAAACACTTCCAGAAATGTATGCAAGAATTTGAATTAATTAACTGTGGCCTAAACCTCTCAAAAGCCTCTATTCACAGCTGTGTACTGTAGCAGAGAAACATTTTCCAATGATGCCCCCTGCCTGCCTTATTACCACAGACTGCTATTAAGGGCAGCAAGTGTCTGTATAAGTAAGCAAGGATTAACACACACACACACACACACACACACACACACACACTTCACCTTAAGTTAAAATCTTAGCTACACGGCGTGCCAGGGACATAACAACATACCCTCGGGGGTGTGAAATCAGAGAGGAGCGTGTTTAAAGGGAAAAGCTCATCTAAGGTCATTTAAGGAAAAGCAATTACATTAGAATGACGGAGAGTTTCTCATTAGATATAACCACATTAATATCTCAGATAAGCTCCACGTGTACATTATCGACCTTGCCTGGAACATCGAATATGTCCTGATGAGGCTCAACCTAAGGCTGAACAAGAAGTCAGAGACTTTATCGCTCACTTTCCCCTCACAGGTGGTTGGCCGGTGCCGGGAAACCATCTGTGATGTCTGAGGGGCCAAGGAGGATGCTGGGAATTCTGGCAGCGAGGATAGCCACTCCCAGAGCCTGCTGCAGTTTAGGACACATTTCACTCACTCTCTGGGGCCACCGACATATCTTTTATTATAATTATAAGCTGCGACCAAGGACACCTGACTCATTTTTACTCACACACCTGTACTGCCAGCCAAAAAAGCCATTTCAGAACAGTGCAGCGGGTGACAGCGGCAATAAAAGTGCA